TTGTCAACTTTTCCTTCAATTTTGTCAAGGAACTGCACATATAAGGCTTTATTGTGCCAGATGTCAGCTCTGGTTTGGAGTGCAGTTTTCTTGTACTGGTTCTTTGTCTGCTGTGTTTTGAGAAGTTTCCGATTATTGACTTCAATTAAAGCAGGTTCTTGGCTTTCCTTTACATATTCTGCCAGGGCATGTTTTTATGCTTCTGCTGCTTCTTCTCCTCCTCCTCCTCTGTTGGGGTTCAGCCTGTGTGTGAACTTGAACCTGATTCTCTGATTGTATTTCCTGATGCCCATGTGAATTCTGAGGCCAATTTAGATGATGATGGGTTGAGTAGTGAAAATCCTACAGCCTTGGAAAGCGAAAGTCAAGATTCCCATGAGAACATACATTCCGAGCCAAACGGAGACGGTTCACTCCCTTTTCCTCCCAGTTTTAGCTCTCCAGAGAATCAGGCACCTGGCCTGCCTAATGAGGATAGGCGGGGGCAGATTTGGCAGAGTCGGGGAGAAGCCCAATGTTTACGCAGGTCAGCCAGATTGAAGGAAATCCAAACAAAATCTTCAGGCGTGTCTCGCAATAGATTTCTTGGCCTTAAATATGACTGTTCTGAATACAGCTTCAGACCAGGCATCGTTCCAGATTCATGTGCCAGCGTTTGCAGGTCTCCTGATTCAAGTAGCCTTGTTCCTCGGAGGTTTTCTAGATGTCCTAAGTACGGTTAGTGATTTGCTAACAGGTTCCAGGTTTCAGCAGTTTTGCTGTGGGTTTCATGATCTTGTTTATGGACATTTCTTGTTGCTGATTTTTACTGTGGCTTTTTACATTTGCATTTTCCCCCCTCTATTTTGTATTCATCTTTTATCAATAAAAAAGGATTGTTTCGTGAAGCCAAGTGTGGTGGATTGTTTTCTGAGGGTCCAGTTTCCTGCTCTGGGTTGCAACATAGAATCATAGAATCAAAGAGTTGGAAGAGACCTCTTGGGCCATCCAGTCCAACCCCCTGCCAAGAAGCAGGAATATTGCATTCAAATCACCCCTGACAAATGGCCATCCAGCCTCTGCTTAAAAGCTTCCAAAGAAGGAGCCTCCACCACACTCCGGGGCAGAGAGTTCCACTGCTGAACGGCTCTCACAGTCAGGAAGTTCTTCCTAGTTCAGATGGAATCTCCTCTCTTGTAGTTTGAAGCCATTGTTCCGCATCCTAGTCTCCAAGGAAGCAGAAAACAAGCTTGCTCCCTCCTCCCTGTGGCTTCCTCTCACATATTTATACATGGCTATCATATCTCCTCACAGCCTTCTCTTCTTCAGGCTAAACATGCCCAGCTCCTTAAGCCGCTCCTCATAGGGCTTGTTCTCCAGACCCTTATCATTTTAGTCGCCCTCCTCTGGACACATTCCAGCTTGTCAATATCTCTCTTGAATTGTGGTGCCCAGAAGTGGATACAGTATTTTCTTCTCCTTCTCCTCCTCTTCTTTTCTTCTCCTCTTCTTCTCTCCTCCTCCCTTCTTTTTCTCCTCCTCCTTTCTCCTCTCTCCTCCCTTCTTCCTTCTTCTTCTCTCTCCTCCTCCTCTCTTCTCCTCTCCTCTCTTCTTCTCCTGCTTCTTCTCCTCCTCCTCCGCTTCTCCTTCTCCTGCTTCTCCTCCTCCTCCTCTTTCTCCTCCTCCTGCTTCTTCTTCTTCTCCTCCTCCTCCTGCTTCTCCTCCTTCTCCTAGTTCTTCTGCTCCTCCTCCTCCTCTTCTTCTTCTTATTTTCAGGCAATAGGGTCAGTCCTCTATATCCACAGATTTTGCATCTATGGAGCCAATCATCCACAGCTTGCTATAAAAGATGCAGACAACAAACCTTGACTTTGCCAATATAAGCCACACCATTTTCCAACGCCATTATACATACTGGGACTTGAGTATTTACAGATTTTGGCGCCCTATACAGTTACCCACCTCTGCCCTAAAAGGACAGAGAAAAAACAAGAGAAGGCCTGCATCTATCAGCTGAAAGACTCCTTCCTTTTCTCCGGCTGTTTGAAGAAGGGAAGAGAGGATCGGGAGGAAAGGGACCAGATGGTCTCCCTCAGGGAACCGGGGCCGGCCAGCGGACTGCCAGTTGCCCACCTTTAGATCTATTAGCTCTAATTTGCTTTGTAGTCTGATTGTCTGCCAAAAATCATGTACACAACGGAGGGGAAGGCGGCGCCGGAGACAAAAGGTCAGCGTTTGAAAGCAAGGTCCTTATCAGCATGCACGCTTCAAATCCAGCATCCTCCAAGGACATGCTTTTTATTTTGTTCTATTTATCTTACATCTCTGCCAAGCGGTTGAACTGCTGCAACGCACATATTAAGGAGGCTGTCACTTTTTCCTCGTGGCTCCCCCGGCCCCAAGAATCAAGGGAATTGTTATGTGATTCACTGATACCAAAGGACTGCTTGCTTCTAATTACAAAAAAGTCGCCTGCTCTTCAGCTGTCAGGATGGAGCTGCTTCCAAGTCGGAGCCGTTACCCATTTGGAAAATGACTGATGATGGGTTCTAACCAGAGTGGAAGGATCCCTTTGAAGATCTGCGAGAGAAATCTGGCAGCTGATGTGGATGGTTGCGTCAACTGGAAACACATGCCGCAGTCAGTATAACCTATCTTTCCTGGCAGTAGCCATGCCATCTATATAAATAGAAATGTAATGTTCGTTTGTGGGATTAACATAACTCAAAAACCACTGGATGAATTGACCCGAAATTTCGACACTACACCCCTAACAGACTGATGAGTGACCATCACTCATAAACCTCTTCCAAAAAAGAACAAAGGATTTATAAACCCAAAAAAGCAAAATGACAGTATGGCGCATGCGCAGAAACGACAGCTCCCACCATCCCCTAGACAAGTGGTTCTTAACCTTCCTTATGTCACGACTCTTAATGCAGTTCCTCATGTTGTGATGACCCTCAACCATAAAATTAATTTTTTTGATACTTTACAACAGTGATTTTGCTATTGTTATGAATCGTAATGTAAATATCTGATATTCAAGATGTATTTTCATTCACTGGAACAAATTTAGCACAAATACCCAATATACCCCAAATTTGAATACTGGTGGAATTAGGAGGGGGGATTAATTTTGTCATCTGGGAGTTGTAGTTGCTGGGTTTTATAGTTCACCTACAATCAAAGAGTATTCTGAACTCCACCAATGATGGAACTGAACCAAACGTGGCACACAGGACTCCCATGACCAACAGAAAACACTAGGAGGGTTTGGTGGGCATTGACCTTGAGTTTGTGAGTTGTAGTTCACCTACATCCAGAGAGCACTGTGGACTCAAACAATGATGGATCTGAACCAAACTTAGGAATCACTGGGTTGTTGTAGGTTTTTTCGGGCTATATGGCCATGTTCTAGAGGCATTCTCTCCTGACGTTTCGCCTGCATCTATGGCAAGCATCCTCAGAGGTAGTGAGGTCTGTTGGAAATAGGACAATGGGTTTATATATCTGTGGAATGGCTGGGGTGGGGCAAAGAGCTCTTCTCTGCTGGAGCTAGGTGTGAATGTTTCAACTGACCACCTTCATTAGCATTTGAAGGCCTGCCTGAGCCTGGGAAAATCTTTGTTGAGAGGTGTTAAGATGTGCCTGGTTGTTTCCTCTCTGCTGTTTTGCTGGTGTGAATGTTTCAACTGATTTTCCCAGGCTCAGCCAGGCTTTCAAATGCTAATGAAGGTGGTCAGTTGAAACATTCACACCTAGCTCCAGCAGAGAAGAGCTCTTTACCCCACCCCAGCCATTCCACAGATATATAAACCCATTGTCCTAATTCCAACAGACCTCACTACCTCTGAGGATGCTTGCCATAGATGCAGGCGAAACGTCAGGAGAAATGCCTCTAGAACATGGCCCTATAGCCTGAAAAAACCCACAAGAACCTATTGATTCCAGCCATGAAAGCCTTCGACAATACATTGAATATGCCCAAATTTGAATATTGGTGGGGTTGAGGGGATGATTTTGTCATTTGGGAGTTGTAGTTGCTGGGATTTATAGTTAACCCTCAATCAAAGAGCATTCTGAACTCCACCAACAATGGAATTGAACCAAACTTAGCATACAGAACTCCCATGACCAGCAGAAAACACTAGGAGGGTTTGGTGGGCATTGGACTTGAGTTTGGGAGTTGTAGTTCACCTACATCCAGAGAGCACCATGGATTCAAACAACGATAGAAAATAAAAAAAATACAACAGCAAAACAACAGAGAGTAAACAATCAGGCACATCAAATCACTCTCAACAAAAGATTCCCCCCAGGCACTTCCAAGCCATTAAATGCTAATCAAGGTGGTCACTTGAAACATTCACACCTAGCTCCAGCAGACAAAGGTCCTTGGCCCCACCCTGGTCATACCACAGATATATAAACCCATTTTCCTACTAACAACAGACCTCACTACCTCTGAGGATGCTTGCCATAGATGCAGGCGAAACGTCAGGAGAAAATGCCTCTAGAACATGGCCATATAGCCCGAAACAACCCAGTGATTCCGGCCATGAAAGCCTTCGACAATACAGTGTCTCTAGAGTTCCATTCTGCATTGAAGGGCAGGTCGTCCTTGGGAATGCCAGAGAGCTCTGATAATTTATTTGCTGAACTTCCCAGTCTCGCAATGAAATTTCCAAGTAAAATTATTATTGCTGGGTTGTTGTAGGTTTTTCGGGCTATATGACCATGTTCTAGAAGCATTCTCTCCTGACGTTTCGCCTGCATCTATAGCAGGCATCCTCAGAGGTTGTGAGGTCCAATGGCCAGGTCCTGCCCTTTTTTCTAGCTTGTTTGAGGGTCAGATTTTAAAACATTTCAAAAAATTAGACAGGTCAAAGGTAAGGATAAACATCTAAAGAAAATGCTTACAGGCGTTTTAATCTCCCCCGAAGGCTGATTTCTGCGAGCCCCCTTTTTAATGCAAAGGAAGGGAAAGTTCTTTACATAACAACAGTCTGTACGCTTACCTAAGGCAGGCACCAATGAGGAATGGCTTTGTCCAAATCTCGTTGTCATTTGATTGGTCAGCACTACCTGAAAGAAGTGAGAGGAAAGAAATCAACATGGAATACTAGCCGTCCCTTGTCCCGCATTACTGTGGCCCAGTCTGTGAATATGTGCTTTGTTTGTGTATATATTTGTGTATATGTGTATTTGCGTGGTTATGCGCATGCACTGTAATGTATTTTTTTATTTTTTGGCTTTTGAAGTTTCTTCCACTGTGTTTTTCAGTGTTTTTATGAGTGATGGTCACTCATTGGCCTGATAGGTGCCTTGTGTCCAAATTTGGTGTCAATTCGTCCAGTGGTTTTTGAGTTATGTTAATCCAACAAACGAACATTACATTTTTATGTATATAGACTAGCCATCCCCTGCCACACGTTGCTGTGGCCCAGTCTGTGTATATTGTCAGGATTTATTTAGTTATGTGTTTTAAATGTGCTTCTATGTATTGCCAATATGGATTCCACTGCGAATTAGAAATGCTGCGCAGAATGTTTACACTATGGGGCTGTGACTATGTGACCTTGAGAAAAGTAAGGTAAGGTTTGCTCTTGCTGAGAACAGAAGGGAGTAACCAGTCTCAGCAAGAAAAGATAAGCAGATGTGAAGAGGCTTTCGTTTTGACTAGTTCCTGAATTGTAGCTCGCTGTAGTAAGACGTGTCTGTGGAATGTGCTTAGTGGAATGGGGCCCTGCTCTCGGTCCCACCGCCTGCACAAGCACGGCTGGTGGGGACGAGGGACAGGGCCTTCTCGATGGTGGCCCCTCGACTTTGGAACTCCCTGCCATTAGAGATCAGAACTGCCCCCTCCCTCATGACGTTCAGGAAACTTGTGGAACGTGGCATTTGACAACTGATTTAATTCTTTGCCCACATGAAAGGAGGATGATGAATGGGATTGTGATGGTGTCGGACGATTTGGCTCTTTTAACTGGGATGATAATGTTTTAATGTGTATGGTGCTGATATTTTAATCGTGTAATTAAGTGGCATTGTGTTGTTATTGTATATTTTTTGTATGTTAACACATGTTGTGAACCGGTCCGAATCCCTCTTTGAAGGTGAGAGGGTCGGTATATAAAACCTCGAAATAAATAAATAATAAAATATTAGTGAACTTAGTTTCTTTTGTAACTCAAAGCCTGCAGAGTCCTTATTTTGCAACTCAGTGTCTGCTGATCTAGCATTCCTTCCGCTGGGCATCATCTGACTCTGACATATATGTGTTTGTGTGTGTATATATGCATATGTGTGTGTGTGCATATTTGTGTATGTTTTTGAGTTATGTTAATCCCACAAACGAACATTACATTTTTATTTATTTAGACTAGCCATCCTCTGCCACGTGTTGCTGTGTATATGTGTTTGTGTGTGTATATATGCATATATGTGTGTGTATATTTGTGTAGGTTTTTGAGTTATGTTAATCCAACAACGAACATTACATTTTTATTTAGACTAGCCATCCCCTGCCACGCGTTGCTGTGGCCCAGTCTGTGTATATGTGTTTGTGTGCGTGTATATGTGTGTGTATATTTGTGTATGTTTTTGAATCATGTTAATCCCACAAACGAACATTACATTTTTATTTATATAAACTAGCCATCCCCTGCCACGCATTGCTGTGGCCCAGTCTGTGTATATGTGTTTGTGTGTGTATATATGCACACAAACGCATATACACAGACTGGGCCACAGCAATGCGTGTGTATATTTGTGTACGTGTGTGTATATTTGTGTACGTTTTTGAGTTATGTTAATCCCACAAACGAACATTACATTTTTATGTATATAGACTAGCCATCCTCTGCCACGTGTTGCTGTGGCCCAGTCTGTGTATATGTGTGTATATATGCATATATGTGTGTGTATATTTGTGTATATTTTTGAGTTATGTTAATCCCACAAATGAACATTACATTTTTATTTATATAGACTAGCTGTACCCGCCATGCATTGCTGTGACCAACCTTCCCTCCCTGTTTCTCTCCTTCTTTCTTTCCCTCCTTCCTTCCCTCCCTCTTTCTTTCCTTCCCTCTTTTTCTTTCCCTTCTTCTTTCTTCCTTCTCTACCTGTTTCTTTTCTCGCTTCCTTTGCCCTTGGTTCCATACTTCCTTGACTCTTTCTTTCCTTCTTTCCTTCCTTCCCTCCCTTTCTCCCTCTTTCATTCCTTCTCTCCTTCCTTCCCTCTTTCACTTCTTTATTTCCTTCTCTTCTTCCTTCCTTCTCTACCTTTCTAACTTTCCTTCCTTTCAGGAGCTCACCCCGCAACATGGGAAACTGCAAGTCGCTTCTGGTGTGAGAGAATTGGCCGTCTGCAAGGACGTTGTCCAGGGGACATTGCCTGGATGTTTTACCATCTTGGGGGAAGCTGCTCTCATGTCCCTGCACAGGAAGCTGGAGCTGACAGACAGCAGCTCACCCTGCGACTTGAGAAATTGCAAGTCACTTCTGGTGTGAGAGAATTGCCCGTCTGCAGGGACGTTGCCCAGGGGACGCCTGGATGTTTTACCATCCTGTGGGAAGCTACTCCCATGTCCCCGCATGGGAAGCTGGAGCTGACAGATGGGAGCTCACCCTGCTCCCTGGAGTCAGTTCTGCCGGCACAAGGGTTTAACCCATTTTGGACGGGATTCTGCCAACTTCTCTAGTTATGTTTTCCGGTGAATGCCATCCACGTAAAACAAAACGGGATTTATTTTTAGCAGCGTGGCAATAAAACGAGAAATCCCAGCAGGCGTGCAAAACTGCAGCTTAAGGAGGTGCCGAGTTACCTGGAAACAGGAGCGAGAAAGAGAGAGAGAGAGACAAGAACCATTCCAGGACTTGCATAAGCTTCATTCCTGCACAATCCTTGTCTGCGTGGTAGGAATTCAGGGGGGAAAGAGCCACCTATAAATAGTCGTAGCTCAAGTGCGCCCTCAACTGGTGCAACACTAGCTGGGACTATCGGCATCCACAATCCCTCCAAGGAATTAAATTTGAAAAAAACAAAACAAAACGAGACTATTACCTTCTAGGGCTCACAGACTTTGAATTAAGCCGCTCCTCATAGGGCATGTTCTCCAGACCCTTGATCATTTTAATTGCCCTCCTCTTCCCTATGACTCCCTCTCACATACTTATACATGACTCTCATCATGTCTCCTCTCAGCCTTCTCTTCTTAAGGCTAAACATGCCCAGCTCTTTAAGCCACTCCTCATAGGGCATGTTCTCCAGACCCTTGATCATTTTACTTGCCCTCCTCTTCCCTATGACTTCCTCTCACATACTTATACACGACTCTTATCGTGTCTCCTCTCAGCCTTCTCTTCTTAAGGCTAAACATGCCCAGCTCTTTAAGCCGCTCCTCATAGGGCATGTTCTCCAGACCCTTGATCATTTTACTTGCCCTCCTCTTCCCTATGACTTCCTCTCACATACTTATACACGGCCCTCATCGTGTCTCCTCTCAGCCTTCTCTTCTTAAGGCTACACATGCCCAGCTCTTTAAGCCGCTCCTCATAGGGCATGTTCTCCAGACCCTTGATCATTTTACTTGCCCTCCTCTTCCCTATGACTTCCTCTCACATACTTATACACGACTCTTATCGTGTCTCCTCTCAGCCTTCTCTTCTTAAGGCTAAACATGCCCAGCTCTTTAAGCCGCTCCTCATAGGGCATGTTCTCCAGACCCTTGATCATTTTACTTGCCCTCCTTCCCCTTACATATTTATACATGACCCTCATCGTGTCTCCTCTCAGCCTTCTCTTCTGCAGGCTAAATACGCCCAGCTATAAGCCGCTCCTCATAGGGCATGTTCTCCAGACCCTTGATCATTTTACTTGCCCTCCTCTTCCCTATGACTTCCTCTCACATACTTATACATGGCCCTCATCGTGTCTCCTCTCAGCCTTCTCTTCTTAAGGCTAAACATGCCCAGCTCTTTAAGCCGCTCCTCATAGGGCATGTTCTCCAGACCCTTGATCATTTTACTTGCCCTCCTCTTCCCTATGACTTCCTTTCACATACTTATACATGACCCTCATCGTGTCTCCTCTCAGCCTTCTTTTCTTAAGGCTAAACATGCCCAGCTCTTTAAGCCGCTCCTCATAGGGCATGTTCTCCAGACCCTTGATCATTTTACTTGCCCTCCTCTTCCCTATGACTTCCTCTCACATACTTATACATGACCCTCATCGTGTCTCCTCTCAGCCTTCTCTTCTTAAGGCTACACATGCCCAGCTCTTTAAGCCGCTCCTCATAGGGCATGTTCTCCAGACCCTTGATCATTTTACTTGCCCTCCTCTTCCCTATGACTTCCTCTCACATACTTATACATGACTCTCATCGTGTCTCCTCTCAGCCTTCTTAAGGCTAAACATGCCCAGCTCTTTAAGCTGCTCCTCATAGAGCATGTCCTCCAGACCCTTGATCGTTTTACTTGCCCTCCTCTTCCCTATGACTTCCTCTCACATACTTATACATGGCCCTCATCGTGTCTCCTCTCAGCCTTCTCTTCTTAAGGCTAAACATGCCCAGCTCTTTAAGCCGCTCCTCATAGGGCATGTTCTCCAGACCCTTGATCATTTTACTTGCCCTCCTCTTCCCTATGACTTCCTCTCACATACTTATACACGACTCTTATCGTGTCTCCTCTCAGCCTTCTCTTCTTAAGGCTAAACATGCCCAGCTCTTTAAGCCGCTCCTCATAGGGCATGTTCTCCAGACCCTTGATCATTTTACTTGCCCTCCTCTTCCCTATGACTTCCTTTCACATACTTATACATGACCCTCATCGTGTCTCCTCTCAGCCTTCTTTTCTTAAGGCTAAACATGCCCAGCTCTTTAAGCTGCTCCTCATAGAGCATGTCCTCCAGACCCTTGATCGTTTTACTTGCCCTCCTCTTCCCTATGACTTCCTCTCACATACTTATACACGGCCCTCATCGTGTCTCCTCTCAGCCTTCTCTTCTTAAGGCTAAACATGCCCAGCTCTTTAAGCCGCTCCTCATAGGACATGTTCTCCAGACCCTTGATCATTTTACTTGCCCTCCTCTTCCCTATGACTTCCTTTCACATACTTATACACGGCCCTCATCGTGTCTCCTCTCAGCCTTCTCTTCTTAAGGCTACACATGCCCAGCTCTTTAAGCCGCTCCTCATAGGACATGTTCTCCAGACCCTTGATCATTTTACTTGCCCTCCTCTTCCCTATGACTTCCTCTCACATACTTATACACGACTCTTATCGTGTCTCCTCTCAGCCTTCTCTTCTTAAGGCTAAACATGCCCAGCTCTTTAAGCCACTCCTCATAGGGCATGTTCTCCAGACCCTTGATCATTTTACTTGCCCTCCTCTTCCCTATGACTTCCTCTCACATACTTATACACGACTCTTATCGTGTCTCCTCTCAGCCTTCTCTTCTTAAGGCTAAACATGCCCAGCTCTTTAAGCCGCTCCTCACAGGGCATGTTCTCCAGACCCTTGATCATTTTACTTGCCCTCCTCTTCCCTATGACTTCCTTTCACATACTTATACATGACCCTCATCGTGTCTCCTCTCAGCCTTCTTTTCTTAAGGCTAAACATGCCCAGCTCTTTAAGCTGCTCCTCATAGAGCATGTCCTCCAGACCCTTGATCGTTTTACTTGCCCTCCTCTTCCCTATGACTTCCTCTCACATACTTATACATGGCCCTCATCGTGTCTCCTCTCAGCCTTCTCTTCTTAAGGCTAAACATGCCCAGCTCTTTAAGCCGCTCCTCATAGGGCATGCTCTCCAGACCCTTGATCGTTTTACTTGCCCTCCTCTTCCCTATGACTTCCTCTCACATACTTATACATGACTCTCATCATGTTTCCTCTCAGCCTTCTCTTCTGCGCATGTTTAGCCTGAGAGCCGTTCAGCAGTAGAACTCTCTGCCCCAGAGTGTGGTGGAAGCTCCTTCTTTGGAATCTTTTAAACAGAGGCTGAATGGCCATCTGTCGGGGGTGCTTTGAATGCAATTTTCCTGCTTCTTTGCAGAATAGGGTTGGAGTGAATGGCCCAGGAGGTCTCTTCCAACTGTAGTATTCTATGTTCAGCAGTGGAACTCTCTGCTACCTCTATGATTCCATGAAGCTTAGCACATGTTCATTGTACAGCGTATTATTTTGAGTGCTGCAAATCTACCTCATCTGGTTTAACTTCCTATTTCACACTTGCGCCCACTCAAAAAGCGAACCCAGCGCCCCAAAAACTCACAGCTAATGTGTGATCGTTGGCGATACTGATCAGCTGCTGAGCCAAGCCATTCAAGAGCCGTGTTCGCAGGGAGAGATCTTCCCAGTCGTGTCGGAAAGGAAAGGCAATGCCATCAATCACCACCATCCGGACCTAATGACAGGACACAAAGGCAGGCGGATGACAATGAGAAGCAAATGGCTGGGTTCCGTGCTCTCTGGGTAAGGGTAAACTACAACTCCCATATGCCAAGGGCAGTCACCCCCAAACCTTGCCAGTATTTACAGTTGATCATATTGGATCTGTATGCCAAGTTTGGTCCAGATCCATTGTTGGTTGGGTTCTCAGTGCTCTCTGGATGCAAGTGAACTACAACTCCTATAAATAATAATAATCTATATAAATAAAAATGTAATGTTCGTTTGTGGTATTCACAGAACTCAAAAACCACTGGACGAATTGGTACCAAATTTGGACACAAGACACCTAACAGTCCAATTTATGTCCTCCTCTCAAAAAAACCCCCAAAGAAACAGCAGAAACCCCAAAAATCCATACAAGGGAAGAGCAGCCATTACAGCACTGAGAGCCAAGTGTGTGCGCACGCACGGCCATACAAATAGAACTGTATGTCCTTCACTCAAAAAATCTGATTTTGTCATTTGGGAGTTGTTGCTGGGATTTATAGTTCACCTACAATCAAAGAGCATTCTGAACCCCACCAACGATGGAATTGAACCAAACTTGGCACACAGTTCTCCCATGACCAACAGAAAATAGTGGAAGGGTTTGGTGGGCAGTGTCCTTTGGTTTTGGAGTTGTAGTTCACCTACATCCAGAGATCACTGTGGACTCAAACAATGATGGATCTGGACCAAACTCTACACAAATACTCAATATGCCCAAATGTGAACACTGGTGGAGTTTGGGGAAAATAGAATCTTGACATGTGGGAGTTGTAGTTGCTGGGATTTATAGTTCACCTACAATCACAGAGCATTCTGAACCCCACCAACGACAGAATTGGGCCAAACCTCCCACACAGAACCCTCATGTGGGCCACAGCAACGTGTGGCAGGGGACAGCTAGTAAATAATAATAATCTATATAAATAAAAATGTAATGTTCATTTGTGGGATTAACAGAACTCAAAAACCACTGGACGAATTGACACCAAATTTGGACTCAAGACACCTATCAGGCCAACGAGTGACCTTCACCCGTAAAAACTGAAAAACACAGTGGAGGGAACTTAAGCCAAAAAAAAAAATACATTACAATGCATGCATGACTTTTATTATATACATAGATAGATAGATGCATAGATAGATATCTTTCCACTACATTACAGAGACCAAAATGCCCTTTATTTCAAAGGAAACCCACTTTTCAGTATGATTTGCTCAGTACCAGACAGAAGACTGCCTCCCTCCAATTTGCGTAGTGAGCTCACAGAAGCAATGAGCAAAATACACACAGCGGCACCCTTCTGTGCAGGGAAGGCATCCTTCTTACTGCCCCTCTGGGTGTTTGCTTTGCCTAACCATTCTATTCATAATTCAGAAGAAAGTCAACAAGGACGCCCAAGGCTCATTCCTATCACTGTGCTTAATTATGATATATTAGGATTCCTTCACTGCAGCGATCTACGCTGCAAAAAGTATTCATTTGTCACAAGTACGGCTTGCTGTGCCTACATCATTTCAAGCTTTGCCTCCCAAGCCGGAATACTTTGGCATAGCTTCCCCAGAAAAGACGGCAAATCTATATTGGTCAAGGTGCATATAGTCCCTGAAGGTGGTTTTTATTTCGTATCAAAAGCATTGCATAAATTAGTATAAAACCAACAAAAATAGAAAGCGTGCAGGTGGCTAAATATCCTTTGACCAAAAACGGGCAACAGCAACGGCATTGTCTGTGGCCTCCAACAATTCTTCCTCTGTACATGAGGCAGGGCATAGTGGACAAGCATACAGATGCGGAGTTGTCTGTTCTGCTCCACAGTCACATAAGTTGTGGGATTCTTTTAAATCATGCCATTTTGCCAGGTTGTCTTTTGGATGGGCCCACTCCACTTCTGAGTCTGTTCAGGGACTTCCAAGTGGCCCATTCTTGGTTTGCCTCCCTCGCAAGGGGGGGGGGGGGCTGTCCAGTTGGGATTTCCTGGTTGAGTTGCCCAGAGGGATACCCTTGCTGTTGCTGGGGGGACGCCAAGAGGAGTGGTAGTTCTCATAGAGCTTTTCCTTGATTTGCGTCTACTGGGAGGAGGCTGGTAGCCATGCAGTGGTTGGCTTTCACAGGGTTCAACCTTATTTCTCTCACATTTAGCAGCAACTTCCCATCGCACATTGCGGGGGGCAATGCCAGCTAGTTCGTAGTTTATCAACAGGTGTAGGTTGAAGACATGCTGTGATTATTCTGCATGTTTCATTCAATGCTATGTTCACCTGGTTTGCACGGAGTGGTAGTTCTCATAAAGCTTTTCCTTGTTTTGAGTCTACTGGGAGGAGGCTGGTAGCCATGTAGTGCGTGGCTTTCACAGGGTTCAACCTTATTTTTCTCACATTTAGCAGCAACTTCACATTGCAATGCCAGTTAGCTTGTAGTTTATCAATAGGTGTAGGTTTAAGACATCCTGTGATTATTCTGCATGTTTCGTTCAATGCTATGTTCACCTGCTTTGCAGTTTGCATGAAGTGGTAGTTTTCATAAAACCTTTCCCTGATTTGAGTCTACTGGGAGGAGGCTAGTAGCCATGCAGTGGGTGGCTTTCACAGGGTTGCAGGCCCGTAGCCAGGATTTCGATTCGGGAGGGGGGGGCTGAGTTTGGGGGGGGCGCTGAGTCTGAGTGAAAGAGGGTCTACCCTAGCAAATCTTTTGTATCGTTACCCCAATACCCCCATGCATATGGGATATATTGAGTATGCTGATCAGATCATGATATGAATAAACATAACATGGCCTGCATCAATAGGAGCATAGTGTCTAGATCTAGGGAAGTAATGCTACCCCTCTATTCTGTTTTGGTTAGACCACATCTGGAATATTGTGTCCAGTTCTGGGCACCACAGTTCAAGAGAGATATTGACAAGCTGGAATGTGTCCAGAGGAGAGCGACTAAAATGATAAAAGGTCTGGAGAACAAGCCCTATGAGGAGCGGCTTAAGGAGCTGGGCATGTTTAGCCTGAAGAAGAGAAGGCTGAGAGGAGATATGATAGCCATGTATAAATATGTGAGAGGAAGCCACAGGGAGGAGGGAGCAAGCTTGTTTTCTGCTTCCTTGGAGACTAGGAACAATGGCTTCAAACTACAAGAGAGGAGATTCCATCTGAACACGAGGAAGAACTTCCTGACTGTGAGAGCCGTTCAGCAGTGGAACTCTCTGCCCCGGAGTGTGGTGGAGGCTCTTTTCCATGATTCATCATCATCATCATCATCATCCTCATCATCATCCTCATCATCATCATCATCCTTCTCTGGAAGCTTTTAAACAGAGGCTGGATGGCCATCTGTCAGGGGTGATTTGAATGCAATATTCCTGCTTCTTGGCAGGGGGTTGGACTGGATGGCCCATGAGGTCTCTTCCAACTCTTTGATTCTATGATTCTATAACAGTTTAAATAATGCACCAGTAAGGCCTTTCCGCGAACCACCATGAGAATTTTGGGGGGGGGGGGGGGCTGAAGCTGGCCATGTGCTAGTTTTATCTCATAGTCTTGTTGGTTAGTTCAAGGACATCCTGGAAGCTCTTCTCCAACTTTCTTTGATATCCTCACTGGAACACATTGAGCTGTACTTTCCTTCCTTAGGAATCAAGTCACGTGAGCAACAATTGTTCCAAGTTGGATTGCCTGTGTTGTGTGTATGGCTGTATTTTCTGTAGTTCTGTGTCTGCTCTCTAGAGAGGAGATAAGCCTGGAACACGCTCTCTGCCCAGCCAAAGTGGAGGCTATAAAAGGGCATGCCTTCCTTCCCTTGTGTTATTGACTCTGCGCATCAGTGGAAAATAGCTCAGGGCTTGAAATGTGTCAAGCCTTCAGCGTGTGCCAGTTTGGGTAACTGTGAAGCCCTTCCTGCATTCTGGCAGAAGTGATGCTCGAATGTACCCAAAGTGTCAGCAGCTATGAGCAAGGAATGCCTTTCACGCTTTCCATCTTTTGCTTTTCTTCTTTTCAGCAGGAAATCCTCCTTTCACAGAAGGAGTGGGGGGGGGGGATAGGAGGGGGGAGATTTCTGAAGCTTGCAAATTGCTGTGAAAGTATGCTCCAGGAATCCTCCTGGTTCTTTGAAATCTCAAAAAAACCTATACATCCCAGTACCTACAACACCTATACATCAAGGTCAACTCCCCCAACCGTCTCCAGTATTTTTTGTTGGTCATGGGGGTTCTGTGTGCCAAATGTGTCTCAGGTTCATTGTCTGTGCAGGGTGAACTGCATCTTCCATCATGTTGAGTCAGTTTTATTTATTTACTTACTTACTTATTTATTATTTACAGTATTTATATTCCGCCCTTCTCACCCCGCAGAGGACTCAGGGCGGATTACAATGTACATATACATGGCAAACGTTCAATGCCATAGACACACAACATATATAGACAGACACACAGAGGCTATTTAACAATCCAGCTTTTTCATGAGGGTATTCTGGCCACCAGGGGAGCTGTCGCTACACCGTCCATTTGTGACACCGATGAAGTACTTCCTCATTCTTTGCATGCTTGCTGGAGATTTTTATGGTGTCATAATTTAGTTAAATGTATGGGAAAAAATAGAAACACAGATAAGTTATTATTCTTAATAACCACGGCTGTGAGAATTTGCTTCACGAGAAGATAGAAACAGGAAGAAATACCAGAGGAAGAGGAATGGCTGACGAAAATACTAGAGATTAGGAACATGAATAGACTCACTTTTCTCATGGCGAAGAATAAAGGAATAAAAATGGAAGAAACGGACTGAAAAAAAGTTACTGAATATTTGAAACAAAAAAAATGATTTTGATCTAATGATTCGAGAAATTAAGAGGGGAAAAAAAGGAGGAAGAAGGGAAAGAACTGGAAATGAAGAAGGAGAGGAGGATAAGAATGAGAAGAAACGAAAAAGCAAGAAGACCTGTAGAAGATATTAGGAAGTCAAAATTTACTTTTTAATCTGTTTCTCTTTTTATTTTATTTTTTCTTTCATCTCTTTCTTTCTTCTTTCTTTCTCTTCCTCACTTTATTATTTCAGTTAACTTGTACATTACTAGGACTTTCACTATTTTTATTTTGTGTTGTATTTTAATGAAAATCTCAAAGATTATTTAAATTTTTTTTTGTTAAATTAGCCTCCCCTCATAAGCGGTACCTAAATTTCCTACTTGGCAGATGCAACTGTCTTCCGGGCTGCAAAGGCCAACAGCAAGCTACACAAATTGGTCAGAAGCTCACTCTGACCCGGGCTGGCTTCGAACTTTCGGTCAGTAGTGATCTTAATGCAGCTGACTCCCAGCCAGCGGCACCACAGTCTCGGTTCCCCAAACTCCTCCAGTATGTTCAGTTGCTGACCAGTTTCTCTCTGTTTGTTATGTGCCATAGAGAAGAGTAGGAAAGGGTAATGGGAGAGGAAGTGGGTGGGGTCATGCAAATTAACTTGAGTGCCAAGTTTGTTCCCAAGTTTATTTGGTAAAATTGTTCTTAATTTTAATTATTGTATTGTTTTTAAGTGTTTTTTGCACTACAAATAAGATATGTGCAGTGTGCATAGGAATTCATTCATGCTTTTTTCAAATTATAATCCAGCCCTCCAACAGTTTGAGGGACTGTGATCTGGCCCTCTGTTTAAAAAGTTTGAGGACCCCTGGACTAAGGCCTACCTCACACTGTGAGGCCTACCTCACACAGAGACTTCTCTCACAGACTAAAGCCTACCTCACATGGAGACTTCTCTCACAGACTAAAGCCTACCTCACACTGTGAGGCCTACCTCACACAGAGACTTCTCTCACAGACTAAAGCCTACCTCACATGGAGACTTCTCTCACAGACTAAAGTCTACCTCACACTGTGAGGCTTACCTCACACAGAGACTTCTCTCACAGACTAAGGCCTACCTCACACTGTGAGGCCTACCTCACACAGAGACTTCTCTCACAGACTAAAGCCTACCTCACACGAGACTTCTCTCACAGACTAAAGCCTATCTCACACTGTGAGGCTTACCTCACACAGAGACTTCTCTCACAGACTAAGGCCTACCTCACACTGTGAGGCATTCTCTCACAGACTAAGACCTACCTCACACTGTGAGGCCTTCTCACAGACTGAGACTAAGGCCTACCTCACACAGAAGCTTCTCTCACAGACTAAGTCTACCTCACACAGAGACTTCTCTCACAGACTAAAGTCTACCTCACACTGTGAGGCCTACCTCACACGAGACTTCTCTCACAGACTAAAGCCTATCTCACACTGTGAGGCTTACCTCACACAGAGACTTCTCTCACAGACTAAGGCCTACCTCACACTGTGAGGCATTCTCTCACAGACTAAGCCTACCTCACACTGTGAGGCCTTCTCACAGACTGAGACTAAGGCCTACCTCACACAGAAGCTTCTCTCACAGACTAAAGCCTATTTCACACTGTGAGGCCTACTTCACACAGAGACTTCTTTCACAGACTAAGATTTACCTCACACTGAGGCATTATCTCACAGACTAAGATTTACCTCACATTGTGAGGCCTACCTCACACAGAGACTTCTCTCACAGACTAAGGCCTATCTCACACTGTGAGGCATTCTCTCACAGACTAAGACCTACCTCACATTGTGAGGCCTTCTCACAGACTGAGACCTTTCTCCCACTGAGGTTTCCCTCTGACTGACAGCTACTAAACTACAGGCACACCTGCTTATATAGAACTGCAGCTTTTGTTGAGTCACTGCATTCATTTAACCCTTTCAGTGCTTTTTAATATTTCTGACATGCTGTACCCAAATGAGTATTCAGGGCTGAACAAGATTGCAATCCCAGAGTCGCCGTCCCATGCTTGAACCATCACGCCACAAGAGAATATGGGCCTATTTCTCTGGCTACAAAGCCTCAGAGCAGATCCAGATAGCAGGAGCAAAACCTTTCCCTAAAAATGCACAAAAATGCCTGCTAACCAGATTTAGCCGACACATTTCTACCCAAAATTAGGTCGGCAGCCAACTGTGTTAATGCTAAGGTCAAGACACAGGCAACACTTTACCAGGGTGTGCTTCAAAAAGCGGAGGATACAGGGGAACGAGTTCGGGAGTATTTATAACTACAAGTGGAGAAAAAGGAAGATGGGAACACAAGGAGAGAAAGTGGAGAAGCAGAGATAACTCAGCTTAGGAGCTCAGCACACCACATCTCCACTGGCTCATCAATGGTCTTAAACCCATCAATATCAGTGGGTCCTAATCTCTGGTCTGAATTGAGGTCAGTATTAGAAGTGAGCTGTAAGGACACATGAGCCGATAGATGAGCAAAGAAAAACATGGAAAGCAAAGCCATCCTACCAGCCCTGTTCAAAGATCAGATGGGAATCTAGCACGAGGACCTTTCTGATGGTGTGAAGGGTCACAATTCCACAAACCTCACGTGCAATACCTGGGAAAATTTATAATACCACAAAGGAGTACCACCACACTCGCTAAATAGGAAATCTGCTACAAAAAAGGAGCTTTTTTGTTGAGTTGCAGGATCAGAGAAGCAGATGGTGAACACAGAAGAACGACCTGCTCACAAATAATTACACAAATAATCAGCCACTCCCAGAAGGGACAGAAAGTTTCACCTATGCTGACGATCATGCCATCACCGCCCAAGCAGGGAGCTTTGAAATGGTTGAACAGAAGCTCTCTGAAGCTTGAAGTGCTGTTATTGCCTATTACAGGGAAAACCAGCTGATTCCTAATCCATCTAAAACACAGACATGTGCTTTTTATCTTAAGAACAGGCAGGCATCTCGAGCTCTGAGGATGAACTTCCTATGAGTTACAGAGATACTTGCAGGAACACCTCAGCAAGCGAGAGTCCAAAAGTGGCAGGCTAAAACCCAGTACCTCAATCAGTGACTGTGACTGGATGAGAAATGGCGGACCTTCTGACTGTGACATCAGAGGCACTCCGAGTGGATAGCCAAATTCTTGTTTGTGTTTTTTAATGCATTTTAACTGCACCCTCAACTCCCTTCTGACAAGATAAATATAGCAATATACCTGGGATCAATATGTTCAAGCTATCCATACTGCTCTGATCTAAAGAAGTCTCATATATTTCAAGGAAGCCACTGCTTTTTTGGCTCCTTTCATGCTCACAGGACCTGTCTTGATCCCCTACCTTTGGGTGTTCAGAGAGGAAGTCAGGCAGCAGATAGACTTGTGCCAACAGCTCCACATAGTCATGGCAACGGAAGTAGTAGATATGGGAGAGGATATTTTCAAGGGAGAAAGTCTCCAAGGCTGGTGGATGGTCTGAAAGGGGGGAAAAAGAGGGAGAACAATCACATACACATTGTATACCCTCACCCTAGAATCATAGAGCTGGAAGAGACCTCGTGGGTCATCCAGAAGCAGGAAAATCACATTCAAAGCACCCCTGACAGAGCAACCCAGCCTCTGTTTAAAAGCTTCCAAAGAAGGAGCCTCCACCACACTCCGGGGCAGAGAGTTCCACTGCTGAACGGCTCTCACAGTCAGGAAATTCTTCCTAATGTTCAGGTGGAATCTCCTTTCTTGTAGTTTGAAGCCATTGCTCCATTGCATCCTAGTCTCCAGGGCAGCAGAAAACAAGCTTGCTTCCTCCTCTCTATGACTTCCTGTCATGTATTTATATTCCAGGCGTGGTCTAACCAAGGCGGAATAGAGGTGTTGCATGACTTCCCTAGATCTAGACACTATGCTCCTATTGATGCAGGCCAAAATCCCATTGTTTTTTTTTGCCGCCACATCACATTGTTGGCTCATGTTTAACTTGTTGTCCACGAGGACTCCAAGATCTTTTTCACGTACTGCTCTCGAGCCAGGCATTGTCCCCCATTCTGTGTCTTTGCATTTCATTTTTTCTGCCAAAATGGAGTATCTTGCATTTGTCACTGTTGAATTTCATTTTGTTAGTTTTGGCCCATCATCTCTCTAATCTGTCAAGATCGTTTTGAATCCTGCTCCTGTCCTCTGGAGTATTGGCTCTCCCTCCCAGTTTGGTGTCGTCTGCAAACTTGATGATCATGCCTTCTAACCCTTCATCTAAGTCATTAATAAAGAAAGCATCCCGAGCTCTGAAGATCACCTGGGAAGGAATCCCACTGGAGCATTGCAGCGCACCCAAATACCTGGGAGTCACTCTGGACCGTGCTCTTACCTACAAGAAGCACTGCCTGAATCATCAAGCAAAAAGTGGGTGCTAGAAACAATATCATACGAAAGCTGACTGGCACAACCTGGGGTCACAACCAGATACAGTGAAGACATCTGCCCTTGCGCTGTGCTACTCTGCTGCTGAGTATGCATGCCCAGTGTGGAACACATCTCACCACACTAAAACAGTGGATGTGGCTCTTAATGAGACATGCTGCATTATCATGGGGTGTCTGTGCCCTACACCACTGGAGAAATTACACTGCTTAGCCGGTATTGCACCACCTGACATCCGCCGGGAAGTAGCAGCCAATAGTGAAAGGACCAAGGCAGAGACATCTCCAGCTCATCCCTTGTTTGGGTATCAGCCAGCACGTCAACGACTTAAATCAAGAAATAGTTTTCTAAGATCTACAGAGACACTCGCTGGAACACATCAGCAAGCGAGAGTCCAAAAGTGGCAGGCTCAAACCCAGAACCTCAACCAATGGCTGATACCAAATGAGAGACTCCCTCCTGGGCACACAGAGGACTGGGCGACTTGGAAGGCGCTGAACAGACTGCGCTCTGGCACCACGAGATGCAGAGCCAACCTTCAGAAATGGGGCTACAAAGTGGAATCCACTGACATGCGAGTGTGGAGAAGAGCAAACCACTGACCACCTGCTGCAATGCAACCTGAGCCCTGCCACATGCACAATGGAGGACCTTCTTGCAGCAACACCAGAAGCACTCCAAGTGGCCAGCTACTGGTCAAAGGACATTTAATCAACTACCAAACTCACAAATTTTGTATTTTGTCTGTTTGTTTGCTTTGTTCTGTTAGAAATGTAATATAAATGACTGGTTGCCCTGACACGACAAATAAATAAATAAAAGATCCTGAACAGGACCAGGCCCAGGACAGAACCCTGCGGCATCCGATCCTTTCAGTTATTTATTTTGGTCGTACAGAGGCAAAAACACTCCGACGGATACAGGGCAATGTCTCTAAAACAGGTGAATGAGAAGGCTGAGAGGAGATATGACAGCCATGTATAAATATGTGAGAGGAAGCCACAGGGAGGAGGGAGCAAGCTTGTTTTCTGCTTCCCTGGAGACTAGGATGCGGAACAATGGCTTCAAACTACAAGAGAGGAGATTCCATCTGAACATGAGGAAGAACTTCCTGACTGTGAGAGCCGTTCAGCAGTGGAACTCTCTGCCCTGGAGTGTGGTGGAGATTCCTTCTTTGGAAGCTTTTAAACAGAGGCTGGATGGCCATCTGTCAGGGGTGACTTGAATGCAATATTCCTGCTTCTTGGCAGAATGGGGTTGGACTGGATGGCTCATGAGGTCTCTTCCAACTCTTTGATTCTATGATTCTATGAATGTGATCACAAACCTTCATCTGGATGCGTCTCTGCAATAAGCCGGCAATGCTGGACACAGGCTGCTGCCATATCGGCCACTCGGTCGACCATAAAGCTCCCTTCCGTATCGATGAAAACGGCTTCTCCAGCGAGCCCTCCAAAGCTCTCCGGGATTTGTACATCCACCGTCAATTGCATGCTGTAAAAGGAGATACGTTCACAAGAGAGAAATACTTTGATATCCATATTGACCTGGAATTTTTGGACAAAGATTTCAGATCTGAGCTTTGACTGTTTACCATAGCTGTGTTTTGCCAACACCCGGAGCGCCACAGATCTCCGTGATTTTGGCCAGCTGAATGCCGCCACCCAGGACTCCATCCAGAGCAGAGCAGAACGTTACGACGAAGCCTTGGGCTTGCTCTTCTTCCAAAAGTTCGAGCGCTGTATATTTCCTGATAGACGTGGCTTCCCCAGAAGCCTTTCCTCCTTCGTCCTGTTGCTCCCGTTTCACTACTTGCAGAATTTCTAACGCCTCCTCTTTAGAGATTCCTGTTTCTAGAAAACCAAAACAGAATAGGTTTAGTTGCTAAAAGATTTGTAAAGTTTGCAAACACATATCAGCAGGAAAGGCTTCTCTTTCTTCCTTAGTGTCAACAGGAAATACCCGAAAATAATGATTTTAGTTGTATATATACTACTGCAGGTTAATAATACTTACTTACTTAGGCGATCCCTTGTTGTCCGAGTAGGATAGTCCTCCAGGGTGGGTCCATAGGTGACTGTGGACCCGCCCTGCATCTTCTCCTACAGTGAGGGCATTGGTTTCCAGGTGGAAGGGGGCCCTGGTCAGGGTCTTGACACGCCCTCCTCTTGGCACATGTCTCTCTTTCGCCCTCCATTCATGCCTCTTCAAATTTACAGCACTGCTGGTCACAGCTGACCTCCAGCTGGAGGCTCAAGGGCCAGGGCTTCCCAGTTCTCAGTGTCTATGCCAGTTTTTAAGGTTGGGTTTGAGCCCATCTTTCAATCTCTTTTCTTGCCCACCAACATTCAATTTTCCGTTCTTGAGTTTGGAGTAGAGCAACTGCTTTGGGAGATGGTAGTTGGCTATCCGGACAACGTGGCCAGTCCAGCAGAGTTGATGGCGGAGGACCATTGCTTCAATGCTGGTGGTCTTTGCTTCTTCCAGCACACTGACATTTATCCGCTTGTCTTCTCAAGAGATTAGCTAGAACTCTCTGCCCCGGAGTGGTGGAGGCTCCTTCTTTGGAAGCTTTTAAACAGAGGCTGGATGGCCATCTGTTGGGGGTGATTTGAATGCAACATTCCTGCTTCTTGGCAGAATGGGGTTGGACTGGATGGCCCAGGAGGTCTCTTCCAACTCTTTGATTCTATGATTCTATAACTTAGGAGTCTGTGATAGAGCATTTGGACATGATTAGGCTAGCAAAGTTGACGGTGGAGGATAATCACTTCAGTGCTAGTGGTCTTTGCTTCTTCCAGAATGCTGATGTTTGTCCACCTGTCTCCCCAAGAGATTTGCAGGATTTTTGGAGGCAGCACTGATGAAATTGTTCCAGAAATTGAGTGTGACTCAGTTCTTGTGGGTTTCTTTGGGCTATATGGCCATGTTCTAGAGGCATTTCTCCTGACGTTTCACCTCTGAGGATGCTTGCCATAGATGCAGGCGAAACGTCAGGAGAAATGCCTCTAGAACATGGCCATATAGCCCGAAAAAACCCACAAGAACTGAGTGATTCCAGCCATGAAAGCCTTCGACAATAAATTGAGTGTGACATCTGTAGACAGTCCATGTCTTGTAGGCATATAACAGGGTTGGGAGGACAATAGCTTTATAAACAAGCACCTTGGTCTCCCTACTGATGCTTCGGTCCTCAAACATTCTCTGCTTCATTCGGGAAAATGCTGCGCTCACAGAGCTCAGGCGGTGTTGTATTTCAGTGTCGATGTTGACTTTGGTAGAGAGGTGGCTGCCAAGGTAGTGGAACTGGTCAACATTTTCTAGTGTTACACCATTGAGCTGTATCTCTGGCATTGGAGAGGGATTGGCTGGTGACTGATGGAAGAGGACTTTGGTTTTCTCAATGTTCAGTGACAGGCCGAGCTTCTCGTATGCTTCTGCAAAGGTGTTTAGAGTGGCTTGTAGATCTTCTGAATGTGCACATACGACATTGTCATCAGCATACTGGAGTTCTGTAACAGATGTTGTAACCTTGGTTTTGGCTTTCAGTCTGCTGAGGTTAAACAGCTTGCCATCTGTCCAGTAGATGATTTCCACCCCATTGGGAAGCTTCCCACCAACAAGATGAACCTGGAATCAGGTGCCTTAATAGTAATAATAATAATAATAATAATAATAATAATAATAATAGGGCATAGGGTTACAGCCTGTGTTGGATGGGGCCGCACTCCCCCTGAAGACACAGGTTCGCAGCTTGGGTGTGATCCTGGATTCATCGCTGAGCCTGGAACCCCAGGTTTCGGCGGTGACCAGGGGAGCATTTGCACAGTTAAAACTTGTGCGCCAACTGCGACCGTACCTTGGGAAGTCTGACTTGGCCACGGTAGTCCACGCTCTGGTTACATCCCGTCTTGACTTACTGCAACGCTCTCTACGTGGGGTTGCCTTTGAAGACAGCTCGGAAGCTCCAATTAGTCCAACGGGCGGCAGCCATGATTTAAACAGGAGCGGAGCGCAGGGAGCATACAACCCCCCTGTTGCGCCAACTCCACTGGCTACCGATCTGCTACCGGGCTGAATTCAAAGTGCTGGCGTTGGCCTTTAAAGCCCTAAACGGTTCCGGCCCAAGCTACCTATTTGACCGCATCTCTGCCTATGAACCCACCAGGACTTTGAGATCTTCCGGGGAGACCCTGCTCTCGATCCCGCCTGCTTCTCAAGCTCGGCTGGCGGGGACGAGAGATAGGGCCTTCTCGGTGGTGGCTCCTCGGCTGTGGAACGCCCTTCCTACGGACATTACACTAGCACCATCTCTAATGGTATTCCGCAAAAAGGTGAAGACCTGGATGTTTGTGCAGGCGTTTGAGTAATTTAGTGCAATCTGGTAATGGAATATAGGAATGGAACAATGGACGACGAACCTGGACTACGCTTGGATGATGAGAAGATTGGGTACGGTTGTTTTTCGTAATAATTGTGCATTGTAATTGCTTATTGGTAATTTATGGATAATGTGTTAAGTCAATTGTTATATGTTGTATGGAACCACTGCTGTTTCTACTGTTTTTACTGTTTGTGAACCGCTGTGAGTCGCCTTCGGGCTTGAGATACAGCGGTATATAAGCAAAGTAAATAAATAAATAAATAAATAAATAAATAATCTTTATTTATACCCCACCACCATCTCCCCAAAGGGGACTCAGGACAGCTAACATAAGGCCAAGTCCAAAGATACAATACAGCAAAATAAAATTTAGAATGCAGACACCAAAAAATTACATCAGAATAAAATACATACAGTAGGAAAATAAAATAAAAAAGCAAATTAACACAATATAAAATCGAACAGAATGGGCAGGCCAAATGGACGAGGTAAAATGATAAAACCCTGGATGAAGTAGGAATAGAAAATATGTAATGGAGGGCAGCTCAAAAAGGATAGACAGTGGGGTAGGCTCAATGGTGTTCCATTGTATTCCTTTGACTATATTTTGGTATACAACTGCAAGAAAGAAAAACTAGAACTCTCTTTTCTTTGTACATTTCAGAAACTGCTGCATTGGAATTCATGCTCCTGATGAGTGAAAGGAAATGGAATTTCCTCAAATATAATATTACAGCGACACCTCGTGGTTAGACCCTCAAATAAATTGGCCATGCATGTCTTAAGAATTCAGGGGACCAATACCCAATGAAACACTATCCCACCCCCATAAATGGACAATTTAGGAACCTAAAACTAAAATTGCAATTTGCTACAGTGTGATGCAATGTTTGGCGCATTGGACTACAGCTCTAGAGTCTAAAGTTCATATCCCCCTGCATAAAACAACAACAATAGTAAAGGTAAAGGTTTTGCCCTGAAGTCTAGTTGTGTCCGACTTTGGGGGTTGGTGCTCATCTCCATTTCCTAAGCCAAACAGCCGGCGTTGTCCGTAGACACCTCCAAGATCATGTGGCCGGCATGATTGCCTGGAATGCCGTTACCTTCCCGCCAGAGCGGTACCTATTGATCTACTAACATTTGCATGTTTTTGAACTGCTAGGTTGCCAGAAGCTGGGGCTGACAGTGGAAGCTCACGCCACTCCCTGAACTCGAACCTGCAACCTTTCAGTGAACAAGTTTAGCATTTCAGCGGTTTAACCCCCTGTGCCACCGGGGCTCCCAATAATAAATACATAAATAAATAAATAAATAAATAAATAATCCAGGATTACTTGGAGGAAAATAACATCTTGCCAGTAGAGCAAAAAGGCAATAAGAAGTAGGGGCACGAAAGATCAGCTTCTGATTGACAAAATGATACTGGGGAATTGCAAAAGCCGCAAAATCTCTACGCAACTTGGATTGATTACAAAAAAGCATTTGACTCACTGCCACATTGTTGGATTATCAAATGTCTAGATGTCATCGGGGTTTGTGAAAATATTAGAAAGTTCGCCGAAAATGCAATGAAACAATGGAGAACAATTTCCACCCGTCAACTGCAGAAGGCCACCCTACTTGGATCTGCACGCATTATTCGCCAATACATCACACAGTTCGACACTTGGGAAGGGTCCGACGTATGATTGATACAAAAGCCAGCATTGTGATCTTGTTTGCTGTGTACTACTCTTGTTGTGCATCAAATAATACTAATAATCTGTCTATCTTCTATCTACACATATTAAAAGTGAAAATATGTATGTGTATATGTGGCACGGGAATAATTTCATCCTAGATTTCATGTGTTTCCTCCACCACAGACATCCCAGTGTTTCTGACTCTCTCCATTGGTGAGGAATTTGCATGTCCCCGCCCACTGCCTCTCCCTTAACCCTTTCCTAATCTTTTCTGCCTAGATATCCTGGGCTGTGTGGAAGGTCCCTGCGTTATCTGAGTCCACACTGCCCTATATCCCAGTTCAAAGTAGATACTGTGGGGTTTTCTGCCTAGATATCCTGGGTTATAGGGCTATGTGAAAGGGTCCTGCGTTATCTGAGTCCACACTGCCCTATATCCCAGTTTAAAGTGGATATTGTGGGGGTTTTTGCCTAGATATCCTGGGTTATAGGGCTGTGTGGAGGGGTCCTGCGTTATCTGAGTCCACACTGCCCAGTTTAAAGCAGATATTGCCTGGATATCCCGGGCTATAGGGCTGTGTGGAAGGGTCCTGCATTATCTGAGTCCACACTGCCCTATATCCCAGTTCAAAGCAGATATCTAGGTTTTCTGCCTAGATATCCTGGGCTATAGGGCTGTGTGGAAGGGTCCTGCATTATCTGAGTCCACACTGCCATATATCCCAGTTCAAAGCAGATATCTAGGTTTTCTGCCTAGATATCCTGGGCTATAGGGCTGTGTGGAAGGGTCCTGCATTATCTGAGTCCACACTGCCATATATCCCAGTTCAAAGCAGATATCTAGGTTTTCTGCCTAGATATCCTGGGCTATAGGGCTGTGTGGAAGGGTCCTGCATTATCTGAGTCCACACTGCCATATATCCCAGTTCAAAGCAGATATCTAGGTTTTCTGCCTAGATATCCTGGGCTATAGGGCTGTGTGGAAGGGTCCTGCATTATCTGAGTCCACACTGCCATATATCCCAGTTCAAAGCAGATATCTAGGTTTTCTGCCTAGATATCCTGGGCTATAGGGCTGTGTGGAAGGGTCCTGCATTATCTGAGTCCACACTGCCATATATCCCAGTTCAAAGTGGATATCTAGGTTTTCTGCCTATCCTGGGCTGTGTGGATGAGCCCGTCATTATCTGAGTCCACACTGCCATCCATACATCCCAGTTCAAAGCGAAGACACAGCCATACTTTGGAAAAGTGGCGGGAAGTTGGAGCAGGGGAGAAGCTTCCCCTCAGCTTGGTCGCCATTACCTTTACTAAGCTGGCAGGGACCCGTTTCTGTCAGGTCGCCCGCCGTTTGGAAACCGGCGGCGACGAGCTTGGCCCTGAGGCCCGGGGCGAGAGGCAAAGTGCCCACATCCCTGGCCTCCATTTTGGAAGGAGGCGTGTCTGAGGGAGAAGGAGGGGAGGGAAAGAGGGCGGGCCTCCATTTTGTTCTTCCCTCAAGATGACGCCATGTTGGGCCAAAGCGCCAAGCTGTTGCCACAAAACACCATTGTGGTTATCGTTGTTGTATCCATTCCCACACCCACACAACCATTCATATTTTGTGCTTTAACATAGAAAGGTCTGTTTGGCCTTCCAATAAGAGTCATGTATACATTGGTGAGAACATTGGGTCTTCCTTCCACTCAGGCGCCATTCTGTGAGAGGCAGGCTGGAGCGTGAGGGCAGCGCGCGCACTGAGGCCAATAGACGGTTGGCAAGAGCGAGGCCTCGAAGACAACAGCCCCCAAACCGCCGCCATTTTGGGGAGGAACATCCCAGAGAGACCTGGGAAGGCTTCAGGCAGTTCCTGTCCAAAATGTCCCCCAAGAGAGCGTCCTGGTGAAGGCCTTTCTCTCTCTCTCTCAGTAGGCCTCAAGAGTAAGCCCCACTGAATGCCAAGAAGAATGATAAACTATATAGAATGAAATAATAATACATTATAGATAATGAAATATATATAGAATGATAAGAAATGATAGATAATTAAATATATGTGAGGTAAAACATTTTAAATTATATATATATATATAAAATAAAATTTTATTATATATATATAATTTATAATAATGAGGAAATATAATGATAAGAAATGATAAATGTAATTCTGTTATATATATATATAATGAGGAAATATAATGATAAGAAATGAGAGACGAGGGACAGGGCCTTCTCGGTGGTGGCCCCTCCTCGCCTGTGGAATGCGCTCCCTGGGGAAATTAGGTCATCAACATCCCTCCTCTCTTTCTGAAGGAAGCTAAAGACCTGGATATGGGGCCAGGCCTTTGGGTAAGCTGGCAGATGGATGAAAGACAATGGTGACCAGAGTAGGAAAGGACAATGACAATGCTGGATGGATTATGGATTTAGGAATTGGTGAACGTTGACCACAAGATGATTTTACTTCTAGGGAAGTCATCCAACCCTCTGTTCTGCTTTGGTTAGACCACACCTGGAATATTGTGTCCAATTCTGGGCACCACATTCAAGAGAGATATTGACAAGCTGGAATGTGTCCAGAGGAGGGCGACTAAAATGATCAAGGGTCTGGAGAACAAGCCCTATGAGGAGCGGCTTAAGGAGCTGGGCATGTTTAGCCTGAAGAAGAGAAGGCTGAGAGGAGATATGATAGCCTGACTGTGAAAATCATAGAATCAAAGAGTTGGAAGAGACCTCATGGGCCATTCAGTCCAACCCCCTGCCAAGAAGCAGGAATATTGCATTCAAATCACCCTTGACAGATGGCCATCCAGCCTCTGTTTAAAAGCTTCCAAAGAAGGAGCCTCCACCACACTCCGGGGCAGAGAGTTCCACTGCTGAACGGCTCTCACAGTCAGGAAGTTCTTTCTCATGTTCAGAGGAAGTCACAGGGAGGAGGGAGCAAGCTTGTTTTCTGCTTCCCTGGAGACTAGGACGTGGAACAATGGCTTCAAACTACAAGAAAGGAGATTCCATCTGAACATGAGGAAGAACTTCCTGACTGTGAGAGCCGTTCAGCAGTGGAACTCTCTGCCCCGGTGTGGTGGAGGCTCCTTCTTTGGAAGCTTTTAAACAGAGGGATAGCGAGGGGATGTGGTGCAGGAAGAAATGATCTCTGCACCATCCTGCTCATCTTCACAGGGTGCTAAAACCTTGTTTGCCCTTCTTTTCCAGACTGAGGAGGATGGCCCACGCCCTCCCCATCCCCTGCCCGGTGCAGATCGGCACAGTGAGAAACGAA